ACGCCCATTAGACCGCTCTAGCAGCTCCCGAGAGCACCTCGCCAACGCGGGCCGCGGCTCGGGCGACGGCCTGGCAGAGAAGGCGAGGGGGGGGGGCGGGGATGAACCTGTGACTTGCCTTGAAGGCATCCCTTGGCGGCTGCGGACGGGCAAATGTGCGCCGACTCTGGCGGCGGAAACTCAGAGGCGGACTTCGACAATTTGTCCACCTAAATGGTACGATGTAGCGACGGAAGCCGACTCATAGGCGCGCCTACTCCTTGCTTAGCGAACTGCGTGACTCGACCAGGAAGCTCAATTACGCGTCGTGGCATTTCCTGGGGCCTTTTCGGAGGGGCAGATAGTCCTCTGTCAGGGCGTCCAGCTCGATGGCCCCCGTGCGTCCTCCTATCCCTAGAGGTATCAGGCCGCGTCGATCACGGCCATGCCTCCTCCTGCGCCATGGGCCTTGGAGTTCTGGGCGGGAAACTTAGGGATGGCGAATCCCTTGGGGGCCCGCTGCTGTTCTGCGCTGTTCATGGCCGGCTCGCCTCTGAGACCCTGTCCAGGTGCCGCGTCTACTGCCGTGGCCCCGGGTCCCGCGGTCACGAGCGCAACGAGCAACGCGGGGGTGAGGTGTGGGAGCCGTCTCGAGCATTGTTCCCTCAGGTGCGCTGGCTCTGGCTCTGTCCAGCGCGTCGAGGTGCATGGGGGTCATGCCCGTGGATTTGGATGGCCCCTGGTCCCCGGACATCTTGCTCGGGCACTCCTTGGCCCAGTGGCTCGCTTGGTGGCGGAGGCGGCATGTCGTCCGCCCGGTTAGCTCCGACAATGGAAGGCGATTCTTTCGTGGGCGGAAGGTCCCGCCAATCGCCCGGTGGCTGGGCGTGCGAGGCTTCCCGCGCCCATCGGTGCCGCGTGCCGCTGAGCGATCGCAGAACTTCCTGTCGACCTTGAGCTGGCTCTCGAGGTCCTTGTCCTGCTCCCATGTCTTGCGCCTCTCGTTGTTGAAGGCCGCCAGAGCCGACGGTGCGCCGTCCACAACCCGGTCCGCCTGCTCGACCACTGCCCAGACAGCTAGCTCTCCCTCGGAGTTCAACGAGGACGCATCCGAACAGTCGAGCCGAGAATCATCATCTCCGCTAGCACCCGCTGGCCACGTGGGCGCCAGGGGGGCCAGAGGAGCTGGGCGAGACGGCTCCTTCCCACCTTGCTGCGGCGGGTGCAGGTTCATCGTTGTGTAGGTCCTCCTGACCTTGTGGTGCTGTCGATGTGAGATGTCCATGTCGCGAGTGGCCTTCATGGCTGACGCGTTGGGCGTCTGATCATCTGATCCTTCGTGAGCACTTGGACAAGCCGTGCGGACTTCTCGTCCAATGCCGCGCCCTCCTCTGGTGGCGCGGGCTTCCGCTCGTTGGGCATGGCGAGGCCCTGTGTCGCAACCGGGTGGAAGGCCGCGTCTATTCTCGCGCAGTGCTCAATGAGGTTCCCTCGCTGTCTCCTCGCGCATTCGCGAAAGCACTCCCTGGCGACCCGTCGCCTTTCGTCTCCATGTCGCCCTCCTGACGCCAGGTCGAGGCGAGGGATGAGCGCGTCGAAGCCGCCTGAGCTATAGAGGGTGTCGTCATCGATGTCTTACAGCTTCCGTTGGAGGTCCTGGCCCAGAGCGCGGAAGAATCGGTTGGCCTGCTCGTGCGTGGAAACGTCGGCGAGGGCGCGCCGCTGGATCGCCTTCCGACGCCGCGTGCGATAGTTGGCCCAGCTCTCCCGCGTCTCTGGGTCCGTGAAGCTTTTTCGGATGGCCCCCCCAGGGGTCGCCTTTATCTACGTTGGGATCATGGTGCCAGTTGTCGACCTGATAATCGTGGAGGTTCCACCCGTCACTTTCTCACCATCTGGCGTTGTAGGGGCCGTGGCTCCAGCTCGAATATGATCTCCGCCATGGCGCGCTCGGGGGCCACCGTCCTGCCGAAGCGCTCCAGCCACCGCCGTGGGCATCGTTGACGTACTCGCGGAAGCCGCCCTAGCCGCTGCCGCCGTACCAACTATCTGAGAAATCGTGGTGGCCGTCCCAGCTCTGGTTTCAGTTGCCTTGGTGCTCCCAAAACGTGTTGCTGACACTGGGCGTTGCGCCGACAGCCGCACAAGAAGGCGAAGCCCAAACCGTCTGTCGGCTCCATTGGTGGCCCTCATGCGGGCGCTGCTCCGGGCCCGCTTGTGTCGCTACCCAGGCTGATGTTCCAGAGGCGTGCGCAACAGGTCCGGTCTCGGTCGCTACCTTCAGTAGAGTCCGTTGGGGCTCCTCTCGAGATTGCACCTCCTGGGCCCTCGGCATGTTCAAAATCTCGATCGCGGTCTGTCTTGCAGTCACTTCAGTGGCGTCTTGACCCAACCCACGAAGTGAGTCGATCAAATTCTACAGTCTCGCCTGCTCCTCTGGTCATGGGAGTGAGACCGAATTATCATCCGTCCTCTCTGCCTCCGCCATCAATCCGTGATTTCGTGGCTTCAAGCTCCGCTACCGCTGACGCGCGACAGGCGACAACGATGAGGATGATAATGTTTGGAAGTCCCTTTTCACTGCACCAATGCCACGCGCGCGATCAACACAGTCGCATTGACATGCGGGTGTAGAAGAAAGGAGGGGAAAGACGAGTGATTTGAGGGTACGGGTTCAGGAGGAATCTGAATAGAAAGGGTCTTGAGCCAACGGCGTAGCATGTCCTTCCCCTCTATCTTTTCTCAATACCTCAAGCTCAGGGTGTTTCTACAGTAGGACCAAAGACTTCAAACAACTATGGCACCTCGAGACACAGATCTCACAGAGGGTGCGGATGACGCGGCCCTGTCGTTGTGGCCCTGGCGCGCAGGCCGAAGACGTTCGCCCTGCGCCCGCCCGCCGCTGAAGAGGGGGACGAGCCACCCACGCATCGAGCGGACCGAACGAACACGGGCAAAAACGAAAACGAGGGCCAAGGCCCCAGGAGCAGAGCGCACGAGGCCCCCCAATAGGGGCCTAGTATGCGAGGAATCAATTGTTCCCGTTATTGGCCGCCTTCTTCTGGCGAGTCTTGGCCTTCGCGGTGTCCTTGCCCGCCTTCGCCATGACAACTTTGCCGAACAGCCGGTGTGTTCCCAACCATGGTCGACTTGCTCAGGCGGGTCTTGATCATCAGATCGCATTGGATGACGAACTTGACCACCTTCGCCATGACAACCTCGCCGAAGATCCTGTGCTTCCGGGCCTTGATCGCCACCTTCAGGCGGGTGTTAATTATCACCGCCCCAGAGATCGCCAACTTCAGCATGTCGTTGCCCATGCTCCGCAGCAGCGCTCCATCATGGCTCCCCCGCGCTGCGCCCCCTCCGTGTGCGCGCGAATATGGCCCCCCCTAGCCAGAAGGGGCTAGAAAGAGGAATAAGAAGAGAGGACGAGCAGAAGGAGGGGGAGGAGGAGGAGGACAGGAACGAGAAGGAGGAAGAGGAGGGAATAATGGAGGATGAGGACAGGGAAAACTAGCAGGAGGACAGGGATGAGGAGGGCGAGGGGGACATGGATGATGATTATGATGATGATGCTGAGGAGGAGAAGGAGGGGTATGATGAGGATTCTGATGATGCTGAGGAGGATGATGGTGCTCATGATGATGAGGATGATGATGGTGACAATGCTGGTGCTGATGATTATGCGGACGAAGGCGATGATGATGGTGGTGGTGATGTTGATGCTGATGCTGAGAGGGACGGTGATGCTGATGATTGTGATGAGGATGGGGGCAGAAATGTGGATTCTCAGAAGGTGGGTGAGGAGTAGGCCAGGGGTGAGGATTGGGAGGAGGAAAGGATGAAGGATGAGGACAGGGCAGGAGGAAGTACGATGAGGACAGGGATGGTGACGAGAACAGGAATAATGATCAGGATGGTGATGGTGATGATGATGATGATGATGATGATGCTAATGATGATGATGAGTACAAGGATGGTGATGGTGATGGTGATGGTGATGGCGATGGTGGTAAGGATGAAATGATGATGCTGGTCATGGAGCTGACGATGCTGATGATGCTAATGCTGCTGGTGATACTGCTGATGACGACGATAATGATGACTACCCTGATGTTGTTGATGATGGCGATGCTGATTATGATGGTTCTGCTGTTGACGAGTCTCATGCTGCCAAGTATGATGAATATTATGGTGGTGATGCTGGTGATTGTGATGATGATGCTGATGCGGGTGGTAATGAGGAGGATGAGGATGAGAAGTAGGAGGATGGGGACAGGTATGATGATGAGGCGGGCGAGGAGGAGGAATGCCAGGGATGATGGTGATGGTGGTGATGATGATTCTGATGATGCTGATGAAGACGAAGGTGGTGGTGATGCTGATGCTGGTGATGAGAACAATGGAAATGATGATGCCGATGACGATGCGGATGACGATGCTGATGATGTTGATGATGCTGGTGATGACGGCAATGAGGAGGACGAGGGGGAGGAGGAAGAGGAGGAGGAGGAGGATGAGGCGGATACCAGATGGGAGAAGCAGGAAAGGGGGGGGGGAGGGGGAGGGGGAGGAGGACGAGGAGAAGGAGGAGGGATGATAATGCTGTTGATGATGAAGATGATGATGCGGATGATGCGGATAATGATGATGCTGGCAATGTCGATGATGACGATGATGATGCTGCTTCTGATGATGATGACCAGGAAGAAGATGATGCTGATGCTGAGGTTGATGCTGGTACTGAAGGTTATGATGATGTTGATGTTGCTGGTGACTATTCTGCTGATGACGATGGTAATGATGATGCTGCGGCTGATGATGAGGATGCCGAGAATGATGAACGCTGCTGCTGATAATAATGTTGAGGATGGTGCTGACGAAGATAACAAGGGGGGGAGGATAGGAATGGTAAGCCGAAGGAGGGCGGGGATGATAATGAAGCTGCTGCTGATGATGAGGTTGAGGAGGAGGAGAATGAGGAGGTGACGGAGGATCCCCACCTCACCGCGGAAGTCCTGCAACGACTCCACGGACAGCCCGCAGACGCCCAACATCATGGCAGCCATCGTGCAGACCTGCCGTGGTGCCGCGGCTCAGCCAGAGCGTGCCGTGCACCCAGCAGTCCTCCTCTCTTCATCGTGCTCCTCCTCCTGCTCCTCCTTTCTCATATCCGCTCCTCTCTCGTCTTTCCTCTCTCCTCATCTGCCCCCTTCCTTCCTCTCTTCTCCTCCTCCCCCCTCCTCTGCCCCTCCCTACTCCTCTTGTCTCCTCCTCTCTCCTCCACTTCCCTCCTTCCCCTATCTCCTCCTCCTCCTCTTCCTCCTCCTCCTCTAAACTATTCTCCCGGGCTCCCTCGAAGCCCCCGGGGACCTCCTGAGACTTCCTTCTCCCCTTCCCCCTCCCCCTCCCCCTCCTCCACTTCTTCCTCCTTCTCCTCCTCCTCCTCCTTCTCTTCATCATCGCCATCATCATCACCACCACCACACTCATCGTCATCACCACCACCATCGTCGTCATCATCATCACCATCACCATCATCACCACTACCATCATCATCATCAGCATCAGCGTCATCATCTCGTCGTCATCATCACCATTGTCACCATCGCCATCAGCATCTTCAGCATCATCACCACTACCATCATCATCATCAGCATCACCATAAGCATCAGCATCAGCATCACCATCAACGTCCTCGTCGTCGTCATCATCATTGCCATCACCACCATCAGCATCATCATCACTACCACCAGCATCATCATCATCATCACCACCATCATCATCACCACCAACATCAACACTATCATCACCACCATCATCACCACCATGACCATCACCATCACCATCACCATAATCATCATCATCACCATCACCATCACCATCACCATCACCATCACCATCATCATCATCATCATCATCATCATCATCATCATCATCATCATCATCATCATCATCATCAGCATCACCAGCATCATCATCATCAGCATCAGCATCAGCATCACCATCATCACCATCATCATTCCCGCCCGCCTCCCCTACCTCCTCCTGCCCCTTTTCCTGCTTGCCCTCCTCCCTCCCCTCCCTTCGCCGTCCGCCTCCCCTGCTGCTGCTCATGCTCCCGCCCCCGCTCCCGCGTGCTGCCACTCCCGCTGTCGCCCCCTGCCAGTGGGCTCCCGCTCCCGCTCCTGCCCCTCGTCCTCCTGCTGATGCTGCTGCTGCTCGCGCTCCTGCTCCTTTCGCTCCTCCTCGGCCCTCCCCCGCTCCTACCCTCCCAATCGCAAGGCTCGGGCCCTGCCGCCGCCGCCGCCGCCGCCGCCTCCTCCTCCTCCTCCTCCCTCCTCCTTATCCTCCTCTCATTCATGGCTGCTCCGTCCTGGGGTGTGTGCGGAGTGGTGGTGGTGGTGGTGGTGGTGGTGGTGGTGGTGTGGGGTGGTGTTGGTGGTGGTGGTGGTGGGGCGGGGGGTGGGGGTGAGAGAGAGATGCAGAAAGAAGAACGGGCGAAGACGAACGAGAAATCAAGGAAGACGGAAGAGGAAGGAACTGGACGCCGGAGGATGAGGACGAAACAGAAGATGGAGGAAGGGGGGGAGGAATATGGGGATGCTGATGATGATGATGAGGATGCTGATTATGATGATGATGCTGCTGCTGCTGATGATGATGATGATGACGATGGTGATGATGATGACGATGGTGATGCTGCTGCTGATGATGCTGATGCTGATGATGCTGAGGAGGATGAGGGGGTGGCGGAGGAGGATACGGCTGAGGACAAAGAGGAGGACGGATGATGACAGTGGAGGAGAAGGAGGAGGAAGAGGAGGAGAAGGACGGGGGGGGAGAATGCTGAGGACGAAGCGGAAAAAGGATGGAGAAAGTGGAGGAGAAGGAGGAGGAGAATGAGGAGGATAAGGAGGATGAGGAGGCAGAATGAGGAAGAGGAGGATGGGGGAGGAGGGAAAGCAGGCTGAGCATCCATCCCTCCTGCTCCTCCTGCTCCTCCTCCTCCTCCTCTATCTCCGCCTCTTCCTCCTGCTTCTCTCCCCTCAGCCCTCTGCGATAACCAAAACCAATCAGGCGAACGCGAACTTTTAAACGAGACGGCTGATGCTCATACTGCTCATGGTATCAAGGAAAGAAAGCGACCACTAGGGACTACTACACGTAATGCGACTGCTGCTGCGAACAGACATGATGCACATCGTGCTAATACGACGGCTAGTTGCAATACTACGGGCCATACGATAACGAATGCTAGTGGTGCTGCGCAACCCAGCTATATGACGGAGAACGAGGATGATCAGGAGGACGGCGATGAAGTGGAAGGGGGGATGAGAACGCTGAGAATTACGGGTGGAAGCGTGAGGAGGAGGAGCAGGCGGAGCAGGCGGAGCAGGAGCAAGCCGAAGAAGCCCCCCGCCCCACCCGCGCCTGCGCCTCGCAGCAGACGCCCCCGCGCCCCCCGAGGAAACTGACACCCTGGTGTTCGGACAGGCCGCCCCAGCGGCGGGCACGCACCTCGGCAGCTGACAGTCCACTCGTCGACGTCGTCGGCGTCGTCGCTGGCGGCGGCGGCGTCGTCGTCGTCGTCGTCGTCGTCGTCGTCGTTGTCGTCGTCGCCGCCGCCGTCTTCGTCGCCGCCGTCGTCGTCGTCGCCGTCGTCGTCGTCGTCGTCGACGTCGTCGCTGTCGTCGACGTCGTCGTCGTCGTCGTCGTCGTCGTCCGTCGTCTGTCGTACGCAGTCGCCACGTCGTCGTCGACTGGCGATATCGTCGCCGCCGTCGCCTGCCAAGTTTAGCCCTCGACCCTCAAATGCCGAGGGGGAAGGAGGTCTTCAAACGTTTTTGGCTCTCGTCGGGCCTCGAAAGGCCTCCAGAGTGTAGGATCTAGGGTCTGGGGTGGGAGCAACACTTACCACTCGCCGCTCCTCGCCGTCGCCGCCGTCGCCGTCGCCGCCGCCGCCGTCGTCGTCGTCGTCGTCGTAATCAAACTCGGCGTCGTCGTCCATGCCGTCGGCTGCTGCTGCTGCTGCTGCTCCTCTTCCTCTCCTTACTCCACCTCCTCCTCCTGCTCCTGTTATCCTGGATGCTTCTGCGGTTCCTGTTGGGAAGAACTGTTTTTGTTGGCCGAGCCGAGGGTGCCAAGTTGGCCCGGGCTACATCAAACTCTTCTTCAAGTCGTGCGCGCTTAGAGGTGGGGCCGCTGAAGGGTAGGACAATACCATTCAGCTTATTTACGGAATCACCTATGATGGACAAATGGAAGAGACCCCCCACAGCAAGCCAGCTCCATTTGTTTGGAGGTCCTGGATCCTATTTCCTCGGCGATCGGTTCTCTGGATCCCGAGGTCTCTGAGTGTTTGCAGTGGCGTCTGAACGCCGAACAGTTGCCTGACAACGAGTGGCCTGCGATGAGACAGAGAGCCTGTCTGTTTTATGGTAAGGCTGCAAATCAAGCTCTGTCGGAAAGTAAGACTTGACAACGGGGCCCCTGAGCAGTGGACAACCAAACACATTTATCTACTCCCATGTTCGACAGCCTGCCCCCCCCCCCTCCCCAGAAGTTCTTAGCAAATGGGTCTCCCTTTCAGATCGGTCCAATATCATGACGTCGAAGAAGAAAGTGCGGAATCAAACTTGGGTGGGCCCAGTAGACACGAAAGAGGATCTCAAGAGGTAGAGCTAACGAGGATCCCTTTCCCTCGCTTCAGTTCTCGAAAGTCTCCTCGCTCCGCTCTTCTGTTCCCCAGACGGCTCCAGGGGCAGATGCCCTCACTCGCTAAGGTAAGCAAACGCATCCCCTGGAGGGAACTGCAGAATTGACCAGTGTGCTCACCCGTATGAAAAAGGAATGTGGAGTTTGACCTGCACTAGTTTTTGTGTCCTTGAGTGCGCTGCTTCCCAAGCCGATCGGGGTGACCGCACCATCTGCACGCTCAGTACTGTAGCCAAGCTTTGGAACAAACTTGGGTCAAATTTCGCTTCCTCCTTGTCGGATTCACCTGGAGCTTTCTGGGACGCTTCTGTTCGGGGGAACTCTTCGTTGAGAATGGTTTTTTTGCGCTTTCTCTTGGGCGAAACAGCGGTGTTCGTCGATGCCCAAGTAGCCACTCTTCTGTTAGACATAAAAGAAATTCCAAGGTTCGCTGAGTCTGCCTAAAATGACGAATTCGGATCAGTTAGTGTCCTGCGATAGTGATTCCGCCCGAAATCCAGATTCTTTAGCCCCCACAATTTCTGCGAAAAACTTGTATACCCTGTGAACCGGCATGGCCTACCGGGTCAACTGATGCCGACTCTCATCTTGGCGTTTCAGTGGCCAAGATGTTTTTGTTTCCCATGCCCCAGAAAGCCCACATCGTGTGTCTTAGGGTCGGTGCAAACCTATGGTCGTTCATATGTTGCACACGGGCGAGATGCGTCAAACCCCGTTCGTGCTCCAATCGTTTCGTCAAGTATCGTCTTCTCTCGTTCACGTGCTCCGCGAATATAGGCTGACGATCATGTACGAAACGTGTCGGATGTGCAAATCTAAGTGCATGGCTAAGGAACTCAACGAATTCTTGCTAGGTCAGGAAGCTCAGTTTAAGCTGGTCAAGAAAGCGGTCAACCTTGGAATCGTTTCGACCATCGTTAAGTCCTGACGGGTGGCCACCTCTAGAGATAGACGGGAAACACGTTTTTTTTTTTTTTTTTTTTTTTTTTTTTTTTTTTTTTTTTTTTTTTTTTTTTTTTTTTTTTTTTTTTTTTTTTTTTTTTTTTTTTTTTTTTTTTTGTATATATAATATATATTATATTACATATTTTCCGCAAACTCAAACACTCAACTCACTTGTGTATGATTGCGCAAGAACTGGGGAGTACGGAAGCGCTCCCGCAAACCTCGTACGGGCACCAATGCAGCGGTTTCCCTCCGTCTACGATCCTCAAGCTGAGGAGACAGGGGTCGCAAGCAATAGCAAGTCAAGGACCTGGCAAGTGTGTATCTTCTATCCTGCCTCCCCATGGGGAGAAAGGAACCAGCCTTGGAATTGCGTAGGCCATTGTTTGTTGAATGTTCCATGGTATAGCGTTCC